ATCAAACAGTGTTCACATTTTTTGGGACACTCTGTGTACATGCTGCCCTGTTTTCTTGAAACAATTTCTCTCCGGATAATACATAGAATGTCAAAACGATTGAATGATTCCAATCATGATGAATGACTGGCATACACAAAGCTGCAACAGATTCTAGGTCACCTAATTGACACAAGGGTGGGTTGCGATTTTCCAAAAGTGGATTCCCATTTTTGGCCAGCACCGTAGATACAAGAGCACAACTGTGTAACTGTAGAAATGATAGACAAAACCAATATAGTAATTCGATAAGCTCTCACTACGGCATGCTGCCTGACATTTGTGAGACAAGCAACTATCCTTAACTGTATTAAATTTAACGAACCTGATAAAGTGCGGATGTGTTGTATGCAGCATACTCATCAGACTAGTAAGCGATTCTCGATACATTGTGGAAACAGTGAGAAATGAAGCCGACTTCCCCTTCTTGCGATCCTGGGTCTTGCCTAAACAAGACACTGTGAACATTAAATAGTGATCAAGTACAAGCAAAGTTAATCAAACAAGGACAATTGCAAACCTCTCGCACTCATCTCCTCTCTGTCGACATCTGTGATATAGTCTTCCCAAATCTGGTAAATCAATCCTTGCTTGTCGCTGGTTTTGAGTACAGCCACAGCCGAAGTATTCAAGGGATCCTAGGGGAGAAAAAGAAATTAAATATTGTACTTCTTGCTATTCTAGCATGACAAGTTAAGACTCATGATTGAATTCCGAAAAATGACAGAGTAGGTCCTAGGGCGCTCAAGTACTCAAAAACGGAAAAAAATTACTTTATTCTTCTCCAGCCACTGATCCGCATTGTATCGTACATCACCAGCATAGTGCGCGATAGCAAAGTGTGCTATTCCTTGATTTCCACGAGGTGGCTTTGCCTGAGAAAAACTATATTTCTCTGCGAAATAAATTAAATACGAAGATTATCCCACACCTTCTGGAAATTCGGATGTTTTCCCGAATGCTGGTTCATGAGCTTCTCTACATATGTCGTGTCGCTAGCTTTCGGCACTAAACACTCCTCATCTAACATTGAGATGATTCCTAGAGGCTGAAAAATTATTTTTTCTTTTCAAAGAAAAAAAAGGCAAGTAAAAAAATACTGTTGTGATTCCAACCTTTTCGATCAAGTCGATACATGCTTGCAGATCTAATCCGAAGTCGATAAATTCCCATTGAATTCCTTCACGTTCATACTCTTCTTGTTCTAGCACAAACATATGATGATTAAAGAATTGCTGCAGTTTCTCATTCACGAAATTGATCCAGAGTTGCTCGAAAGAATTGTTCTGTAAAAAAAGGACATAAGAACTGTGGAATCTAGTCTCAAATAATCTCCATACGTCAAATATCTCAAACCCAGCAATATCTAAGACCCCAATGTAATTCGCTGAGCCTTCGAGATTTGCAGAAAGCGTTTGATTTACTCGCTTGATGATCCAAGTAAACATACGAGCGTAGATAGCTTTCGCCAAAGCACCAACTGCCCAGTCAACCTACAAAATAATTTCTGTGGTCAAACAACGGACTTCAATTTGAGCAACTTGCCTGTTGCTTGTTCTGGCCCTTATTTACCCACTCAGTTCCAACCTTTATTCTTGGCTTCACCAGAGCGCCAATAAACTGATCGGGATCAATTCCAAACAACTTTGCTGTTTTCATTGGACCTAAATAATCCGTAATCTCTAGCGCCAATTACAGCAAAAAAGAATGCAGCATGTAGCATACAAAATTTTCAAAGATGGACTGCAACCTACTAGAATAAATAAGCCCATAATTTCATCAAAAAATTGTGTGGAATCCCACTAATTCACACGCCTCAAATTCCCAGCCGCATTCAGTGACAGCCTTCTATCACTCCAAGTAAATAGAAGAAGAAAAAACTTACTATCCATGCTGTCCACTTCCGCTTGTTCTTCTCGAGGTTTTTGCCTGAAGGCAAAACGAGACATGTGCATTATGGCAGCACATGTCTTGTATAAATCATGCTTTTCACGATCGGTGAAATGCATAACATCGAAGGCATTCTGAAAAAAGAATGAATTTTAAGGAACCGATGCAGAATTTAGTGTTTTGGATTGTTTTTTGGCAATCCAGGGATCAGCGAATTATTATATAATAGAAACTAACATCAGTGATGCGGAACTCCTCCTTATCGTCCATTCCGGGGACAGTAATCTCTGCTTGGGAGACGAACTTGTATTGGCGAATATCGTCTCCCAATTGTAAGACATCTGGAACAATCAAACATAGGCATATATTTCCTTCTCCTCCAGCGAGAAACATACAGTTTTTATAACACTTTAAGATCTTGCTAAAATCACTGTATAATATGTGGACATTTTTAGTTGCGTATCACACACAAGGCTATGAGATTGTCTTGTCAATGAAAAAAACTTTACCTCGTAGTTTCTTTTGCGTGAAAATCTGGTAGAAAATGTGATACGATCGCTCTCCGGGTGCTTGCTTGATGACTCTTGACTTCTCCAGCAGATCTGCAAAGGTAAACATTGGAAAGTTTGAA